AGTCAACGGATTTTTAGGCTTATCCTAACCCTCTTGGGTTGAGGTATTCTCACCTTTTGCATGACACCCCCACATTTGTAAGAATTTATAAGAAGGCTTAATGCCTTTCTATAACTCATACGGGATCTTGTCCACTTTGCTTCAACACAAGTTTCACACTTGTGTTTCGTTAGAACGACCTTGTCGGACTCAAAACCCAAGCGAAAGTCCGGAACATACAGGACTTCGTTCAAGGGGGGCTTCTCCCTCATTCCAGAAAATTTTCCATGCTCAATGACATTGACATTCACTGAAGAGGTACTCCCTCCTTTCTTTCTATTATTCTCCTCAATTCGGAGTCGGATAATTAAGTCTTCTTTGTAGAATTTATACAAAGTCTTAAACAAATCCTGGTGTCACAATGATTATGAAACTCTCAAAATCATATCACAGTAAATACATTCCCAGAATGTCATCAACCGAATTAGGCACCCAAATATATTTGGTCCAACCTATCACTCTGAAGCCAATAGTCTCACTATTAGGAAACACAAATCCAATGTTCAATAGTCTACTCTATGGAACTTCATAACATGGCCAGTAGTCTTGTCACTAGGAATCACTAATTTCTTAGCATGTGGTCAGTAGACACTTTACTACTAGGAATCACAACGTCCTGACATAGGATCAATAGACTCTTTCATTACTAGGAATCATCATGTCTTGACATATGACCAGTAGCCTCTCCACTATTAGGAACCATGATGTCTTGACATGTGATCAATAATCTGTTCACTACTAAGAATCACAATCTCATAACTGAGTAGCCAGTGGTCTAACACCTCGTAGGAACCACCAGTTTTCTATCTCTGTGATCAGTGATCTTATACTCACTAGGAGCCACCAATTTAAGAATATATTTGGAATTTAAAAATTCAAAAATATATTCACCCACCCTAATGGGTTGTCTCATCTTTGCTTTCAAGCAAAGTCATATAGCAATCATATATGCTATAATTGACACAAGGATAACATACTAATTGCCTTTGATTAATTCAGAAATGTTATCATGCAATCTTATGATTTCCTTTAATCATACTTGATCTCTCAAGATCTTCCTTTAAGAATCTCGCGAGGCTAAGGTTGTCAGGTGGAACAATATTTCTTTTTGTCACATTTTGAAGCCATTTCTGAAGCATCACAACAGAATTTCACTTCTGTGATTCCAGAAATTAAACTTAACCCTTAGAAAATCCCTTAGATGGAAATTTAATTCAAAATTAGTTTCACCATTTAACCTAGAATCGAACATGGTCAGGAATGTTCCCAGGAAGACTGGAGGGATCACATCGGTCCCACTTAAAACCCAGTTAACCTTTTGACAAAACATTCAAGAGCATGTTGACTCCTAGTCCATAGGAAACAATTTTAAAATTAAGATTTCCAAGGGATAAACCAGGTTATAACAAACCAATTCCCAAGTAAATAAAATTTGCTACTAGAATTACACTACTCATAAAAGTTAACCGGTACTCCCGGAACTGAGCCCATGAAAGTTAATCGGTACTCCCGGAACTGAGCCCATGATTTCTGAATAAAAATCAGAGATATTTTAGCTAATGCTAAAATTTGATTTCTTTTCTCAAAACCACAACACTTTGGAAATAATTAGATTATAAACCAAAACACTTTGGAAATAATCAGATTATAATCAAAGATTTTCTCCAAACTTGGTTTTCCAGCACTTTGGGAATAAAATGATTAAACTCAAAGACTTCCTCAACCCCAAAGGTTTGAAACCAAATCCGTCTTAATGACAAAGGTTTGAAACCAAATCCGTCTTAGTTGTCATTTCTGAACAAATAAGAACTACTCTTTAGCCAAGGCTAAACACTTTGGTTTCTATTCCAGAAAACCAAACCAAGTTCCAAACTTACAAGCAATTTAAAAATTGCTACAACCAAATACATGCATATAAAATGCTTCCAATAATATAAGCAAACAAAACTTGCTGCTTCAAATTGGTAAACAAACCAACTAAATCTCTGAAGCCCTCTTGGCTGTTGCTCTCTAGCAAACTCAAACCTTAAGACACTTTAGATGAAGCCCTCTGGCAAACTATAGCCCTCCGTCTAATGCATTCTTTGCAAACTTCAAATGTTCTCATGCTCTCTAGTAGAAAATGAAGCCCTATTGCTAAAATGAAGCCTACTGGCTTTGCTCAACTCATGCCCTCTAGCAAAAAATTTCTTCAAATATAAAGAAAAAATAAACCAATCCAATTGAGGATTATAAGTAGTCCATACAATTCCTTTCTACGCTTAGGTATGCCTACAAAGAGAGTTAGCGGCAAAATACAACAAAACCTCCCTCAGCTTTTCTTTGCTTTTGGCAAAGTAGTGATTGAAGAGGAGGGTACTAGCAAACAAAATAATAAATAGCTGTAAGTAAAGATTAAAATCAACCCTTAAGTTACACATCTAGAATTTAAACAAAAAACTATAAAAAATTAATTACATAATAAACATGTAATTAACTATACAAGTTACAAACCCAAAATTAAATATAATTAAACCATATTTTAAATTGGTAAAGGCTACATATGACCTTATGGTACACTAAACATGTAATTAATTGAGGCAAGTTATAAACATTTTATAACTCCTAAACACTTAAATCACATTACTAGGCAAGAATTGCAAATGACATGATTAACATACAAATAATTCTAGAGAAATTAACATGAATTTAAATATAGGCAAGTTATAAACTTTACAACTCCACACCTAAATTAAAAATTAATAGGTACAAGTTACATGTAAATTTACTACCTAATAAACATGCTAGAAATGTAAATTACACTAAAAATTAAACCCGAATGAACATGTAATTTATATTGTAAACTAGAAGCATGTGAACTAGAAGCATGTAAATCTAGAAATACAAGGCATGAACTAGTACACCACAAATTAATAAATTAATCAGAAAATACAGTGAATTAATGTTGCACCAATGGAACTCTTCTTCCCTATTGATAACAGTGGCCTATTACATGCAAAATTATTACACACACCTATGAATCTATTAATCTAATTCTATGTTAAACGTTGAATCTATTTTAGGCTTGTTGGGAAAAACTACTCACATTACATAATTTCACATTGCATATCGCAAAATTATGAGATGAACAAAACAAACCTTCAATCCCAGAAAATATAACATGCTGAATAAAATACAGATAAAATATAAAATGGTTAAAGGAAGCAAACCGAAGCCTGTGTGATACCACAGTCTCCTTAAAATAGATTCGCCGCCTCATCGTTGGGTGCTGGAGGTACGCCGGCGTCTACTTCCCAGGATACGACAGTTTTTACCAGCTACAACAGAAGCACCTTCTGATTAGCTTAGCGAACTGACAACGGCAACACTCTCTCTCAGGAAGAAAATTATAGGAAAAGTAGACTGACAGGGTATGGATGCCAAGGAAAAATTCTATATATCTCTTTTCAAGGAATAGAGCCTCCTTTTATACACCATGGGGGAGCGGGGAGGAGCCTCTAGCCATCAAGGCTGGCAACTAATGCTAGCAAAACTGCCCAATCAATTTTGTAAAACTGATGAACCTTAAATGTGTGAGTTATATACATATTTATGAGGCAATTTCTCATTCAACCATTTTTCTCCAACAATATGCTCTATCTCATCTTATCTTCTTCCTTTCTATGTATTTAACCACAAATCCCTTGATTTAAAATATATAATTATCCAAACTGGTCATAAAGTTATATTTGAATCATAAATTTGAATAAAAACTTATATACAATATATATATATATATATTTCATTCACATTTTCTTTATCTTCTCTTTTCTTTTTCAAATTCTTAGCCAAATCCATGAATCAAACACATCACTAATAAAAAAATAAGTTTTGTCAACTTTAAATCTTTAATTTTCATTTTATTCTTAGACATAAATGTATATGTTCTACAAGTAATATTTTCTCAAGAGGTTGGCCTAGTGAGTGCAACTTAGGGCTTAGGGGTGTGTTCCCTCTAGGTCTCAGGTTCAACTTTTATTAGAAGCAATCTGCTCCTCGAGACTACGTCTGCACCACGTGGGGTACTTTGCATGGATCCCGAGATTAGTCTTTTTTTTTTTCTCACTTTCACCTTTATATTATTATTATTTTTCACTTTGTACTTCAATTTAGTGGCACATGTCATTTTTTGTTAAAGTATTTTACAGCAACCACATTGACTAAAATTAATAGTTTAAGTACTAAATTGAATGCAAAGCATTGTAGATGCAGAGTGTAATTTATATCAATTTTCTTTTTCTTCTCCCTTTGAATTACAGATAAAGAGAGCTTCTATCTTCTGAAATTTGAATCTCAGGCCTAATTTTTGAGATACTGACTTTCGAAGTTGAAAGATAAGAAACTTGACATTTACCACAAGTCTTGACTAGTTTCTGTTGCAATATTTACATTGTTTCTATTGTTAGCATTTGCTTTGAACCTCTCTTTGCTATCATATCCTACTTTCCAAAAAAAAAAAAAACTCACGAAGAGATAAGAAAAAGAGTGAATTAAAAATGTGTAGTCCCTAAACCATATTGGATAAGATTGTAGAAAAAATTGTTGATGTAGTGATCCAATCGGTGGTGTGTCATATCCATTTTGTTACTTGCTACAAAGGAAACCTGGAGAGGTTGGATGCTGAAAAGAACAACCAGGAAGATCAGTGGCAGAAAGTCAATGAAGAAGTTGATAAATACAAGACCCTTGGTGAAGACATTGAGGCTAATGTTTCAAACTGGCAAACAAAGGCGGACAAGATGATAAATGAAGTCAAAGAATTTGTGAACCACAAAACCGATAAGGAAAGCATGCAATGCTTTAAATTTTCGTGTCCCGACTACATCTAACGCTACGTATTGAGCGAGCAAGCAAAAAGGAAGATTGGTGATATCAAGAAACTTTTATTCCCATCCAGTGTTGGTTTTGTAAGTTCGGATTATATGAGTTTCGATTCAAGAGAACTGGTTTTGAAGACTATCATGGATGCATCAAAAGATTCCAAGGTTTACAAGATTGGGGTACATGGACTAGAAGGGGTAGGAAATATGAAAATGGTTGAAGATGTTGGCAAACAAGTGAAAAAAGATGGACTTTTTGATGAAGTTGTAATGGTAGTTGTCTCTCAAGATGCAACTGTGAGCAAAATCCAATTACAGTTGGTTGGGGGTATGAATCCAAAACCTGATGTAGCGACAATTACTAACGAACATGAGAGAGCAAAACAATTGTGGCTTAGATTGGACAATGGGAAGAAAAATCTAATAATATTGGATGATATTTGGCATGAACTAAGCTTGGACACAATAGGTATTCCTATCACAGGTAGGAACAAAGTTGTGATAACATCTCGAAATCGAGTTGTGTGGAAAAATATGGAAACGGATACAAAAATTCAAATCAAAGTACTATCAGATACAGAAGCATGGGCCTTATTCAAGAAGAAGGTAAGAAATTCTATTGATTCCCCTGAACTACATGATATAGCAAAAGAGGTGTGTAAAGAGTGTCAAGGTATGCCGGTTGCTATACTTGTAGTTGGAGGTGCATTAAAAGGTAAGGAGAAGTATGTTTGGAAAAACGCACTTGAGAAGCTGAAAAAGTCTATTCTATAGAAAATTGAGGGAAATAGCCAAAAGTTGTATGACTCCTTGAAGTTGAGCTATGATTATTTATCCATGGATGCAAAATCATGCTTCTTGCTCTGTTGTATGTTTCCTAAAGATGTCGATATTTCAATTGTCGAATTGGTGAGACATTGCATGGCGAGGGGGTTTCTTAATCAAAAGCCAGATACACTTAAAGAAGCAAGAGATACAGTACGTACAATGGTCCATACACTCAAAACGTGCTCTTTGTTGTTAGATGGCACAAATAAAAACGTTGCAAAAATGCATGAATTAACAAAATTAAATTTGTACGACTTGCAATGCATGATGTAAAAACTACTTCATGGCATGCACACAAATACCGTCATATGACATGTCGTGGAAAGTTGAGCGTCATTTACGGCATGCAAGTAAAGTTATAAAAAGTAATAAATTAAACAACAATGCATACTTTGTATGTCGTATATAATTTTTTACGACATTTTTGTCAAGCCATAAATCATCATACTTTCCATGGCATAACTTTGCATGCCGTTTAAGGTTATTTTTAATATATTTACGACATACTTTGTATGCCGTATATAATATTTTATAGCATTATCTTACATATCATAAATTATCACACTTTTCACGACATAATTTTGTATGCTGTAGAAGTTCATTTTTAATATATTTATGACATACTTCGTATGCTGTATATAATCTTTTATGGCATTTTCTTGCATGTTATAAATCATTACACTTTTCATAACATAATTTTTATGCCGTAGAAGGTTACTTTTAATATATAATATATATACAAGAATATAACCTTGCCTAACAGTGTGCAGACAATAGCTTATAAAATGCAACTTGTTAACAAACCAAGCAGAAGCAGCAAACTATGAAACAAGCAAAAAAATCTAATATCCATACACCAAACAACCTGCATACTAACTTCCATCCTTAACTTCTGTCATATCAAGCTGAAAATAACCTCAAACATACAAACCAAAAAAGGTATCCAAATCATAAGATTCACTAATCTCTAAAATACAACTTTAAACATCCAAAAAGTATAACTACAAATTGTAAATCAGTTAATATTTAGTCCAAAAGAATGAATTGACTAGGCCATGCAACTGTACGGCCATGCAACTGTACTTCTTATTGCATCTTGAAGATCATACATTTCATGAGTAGAACGAAACAACGGCACGTTAAATGTTACATTGTTCACCTATACTTGCCAACATATAGGTCCAAGGGTCACATGATGCACCTTTGACTTGGCATCCCTTGATGCAATTTGGCCTTTTGCAACTACCAAGTTTGTCCCCTCCCAATGCAACAACTTGCATTTGACATTTTCTAAGCTCGACACACCATTACTTTGATCCTACAAAAATTAAGAGTATATAAGCATACTGCATAACATTCATCCCATTTATCAAGTTAAACTAATCAAGTATTAGTTCAACAAAGGAAATGAAAGTGTCAAAAAGTTTCAAGAGAACTCATATATGTCATCAATGTCAGAAAAGAAAATTTCATCTACATGAATCCAGTATTATTGTAATTCTTGTAATCTTGTAATTGCATAACCCAAACAACAACAATTTCCCAACTCGAGTCAGCCAATGATTTTTGGAAGGCATGATATACTTCACAACAGAAACCTTAGATATTATATGATGCATATTCTACAATTAATCAACCATAACAGAACTTCAATTACATCATAAACTCTATCACTGATTTCTTCCAGATTGAAGCTCCTCTTAAAAATGAAAGTCCAACATTCACGGAAACCAAGAAAATTAAAGATTGAAATTACAGAGCAACAGAGTTTAAAAGACAGATAGACAAATCACTAACAGTAAAACAGTTAATGCAGGTATGTTGCTTTAGTACTAGAGATGATTTTGACTCTTTTTATCTCAATACATAGTATAAAGACAGCCAATTAAATTACAAGAAAAGGGAATTCAAGAACCAAAAAAGAAAGAAAACTTCACTGAGCTAGAAAAGGGAATTCAGATCCTATGACATTCCCAGTTTGATCGCTATAATTAAGCAAACTAAAAACAAACATAAAAGCCACTAGAAGAAGATTAATGTATGATCCCCCAAAATCCAAATTTGGTATAATCATAATTGTAGTTAGATAGCATCATTAATACCAACAACATTGTCAATATCCACAGCCCCAAGAAGAAGCCAATAATGTATAACTAATTACCATATCATAACAATTGAGACTTCTAAAAAGAGCATAACTTACCATATCCAAACCAGTTGGAAGGTTTGCAATTGAAGAACCAACACGTTTAGATATTTTTATAGTTTCAGTGCTTTCAGTAACAGAACCAACTTCATTCACCTAAAAAACCATAAAAACACTTCATTAAGCATATAGCTACCATAGAATTCCAACAATTAAAGACACGAGGAGTAGATAAATATGTTCAGAAAATACTATTTTCACTCATTGAAGTTGGAAGGTTGTCATGAGGAGTAGATTGGAGTAGATCGGAGCTTTTTGGGAGGGATTGGTACCCTACACTCAAAGACAAACATGCAAGTGATTTAAATATAAAATAACAAATGATTTGAATCAAAATTTACTTGAATTAAATCATCAAACATTATATTACCATGTTTAGATTTTCCTCTTACATCATTTTGCCTTCTTTCTTTGATAAGCATGGCTCTTATCTCATTGAGTTGTTGTTCTAAGTCCAACACCTTGCCTTCAAGTTTTCTTACATGTAATCTCTGGATCCAAACCCAAGTAAATGAGTCAACTTCCAATGAAAGGTATTCAAAAATCAAAATTGTTAAGATGGAGATCTTTATCATTAGATTTTATGTTTTATGGTAATTTTATATTATTGAAATGTGTGTAAACTAATCAGACAACTGATTTAAAATTTTTGGGATGGCATCAGCCATACTGATGTACTAATTAGTAGGCTGAAAATTAGCACCTAGTCAAGGTAAATTAACTACATAGTGTATGCTTAGTACCTAAGTATTGATGCTTATTGAACAAAACTAGAAGCTAAGTGCCATGATATCTAATCAGCACATTTTTATTATCATGCAATTTGTTATTGAAGCATAGTTCCATGGAAAAAGAATTAACACAAAGTCCTAAACATAGAATTACTCAAAGGTGAAGCACATTAATTAAAATAAGTGGGTGAAAATAGGATAGATCAAGCAGCTGGCACATTAGCCAAATTCATTCAATCATATGAACAGTAAACAGGAAAGGAATGAATGATGGAAAGAAGAAAAGTACTGAAATAAGTCTAAGATATATTTGCCATAAATCCATTCAATCATAGCTAAATTCATTCAATCATATGTCATCACTATAGTAATAAATATATTTGCACCTAATGCAGCTTTGATTTCATGAAATACAGAAACATAAATACACTAAAATACTAAGAAAACATAAATAAATATATCTTCCATAGTCTATTGATTTCTGATAGGTTTTTCCCATTTGCCCAAATTTTTTTAACAACTAGGAACTGATATAATCAAGAAGTTCTTGCTTTCCTTTTGATTGATCTGTTGCTTTTATCACTATAAGTATGTTATATACTGTTTAGAAAGAGAAGGGATAATGATGGTAAAGTAACGAATTAAGGCTTAAATAAAGTGTTTTGCTAGCATTTTGGGTTTTCTCCAGCTATCCTGTCAAATTAGGATCAAATCTTGGTGTTTTATAACTTGTCTATAGTTCCAGTGGCCGCTTTGAAAGCCAGGTTTACAGGTTCATGACTTTATCCCACTTATGTGCAATTTTCCCTTTATTTTCTTCCTTTCAGCCATAAAGACAAGCACCCTGTCAAATTGAGAGGTTATCAAATGTGATTGGTGACCATAAAGCCAGGATAACTCAAACAAGGCCGAGTTTTTTTATTTTTTTATCAGGCAGAGTTGAAAGCTTATGCAGTACCAATAAGGAAATAAAGACACAGGCATAACTGAAGCTTGGGTAACCAGCTTAGGGTATGATAGAATATCAACCCCTATTTATAAATGAAGATTAGGGTTTACAAGAAAGGCAATTACAAGATGATCCCTGAGGGCATAAAATGATTACAGACCCTAGTGTAACTTTCGGCTAATATAATATGCTAACACTTTCGGCTAATATAATATGCTAACACTCCCCCTCAAGCTGGTGCGAAGATATCTCTCATGCCCAGCTTGCCTAATATGTCATGAAATGGTTTATTCCCAATCCCCTTGGTGAGAATGTCAGCAAGTTGTTCACCAGACTGGACAAAAGGAGTACAAATGGTACCACTAGTGAGTTTCTCCTTAATGAAGTGGCGATCAATCTCAACATGTTTTGTCCAAAATAATTTTTAGTCGCTGAAATTAAAGTTTTGCCGGCCAAACTTTTGGTCGCGAAAGATAAAAAATAATTTTTTATTTTTCTTTCAGCGACGAAAATATTTTAGTTTCAAAAATAATTTTTAATTATTTATTTTAGTCCTTGCATGGCATGGGTATTATGCTAGTCTAGATGTATGTAAAAAAATTTTTTAAATTAAATAAATAAAATAACTAAAATATGAAACAATTCACCAAAAACAAATGAAAATGTAAATAAAAACTTGTGTGCATTAATGTTTGGGTTTTCGTTTGTTTTTAGTATTTTGTTTCTTCATATTTTACTCAATTTTTTTAGCTTTTTAGATTCACCTACTCTTGATGTTTCTAAAAAGTAAAAAAAAAAAAAAATTTAAAATAGAAAAAAAATTTACTAAAGACAAACAAAAATCTGTTTAAAAACAGTTTCTAAAAAAGCAAACAAAATAAATTATTTTTGCAATTATGTACATGGCAGAACTTGAGAGATTTGAGCTTCACTATCTCTCTGAGTCTTCCAAGAACTTTGTTGTCCCAAATGTGATCATAGTCACATTTCAATACATCCTATAGAGTAAGCACTATATCATCCTATTCCAGTAGATTAAACAATATAAGTGAATCCCACC